ATTTAAAATAAATTTATATAAACTTTTTATTGTTTTGCATAAAAATTTTGAGTTTAATATTGGGTAAAAAAGTGTTCAAAAACTTTTGGCGGGGATCTGTATATTATGATAATCATACATACTTCTAATTCTTTAAAGATACAATATAAATCTTCAAAAATTCCACATTCATTCTCACAAGATGGTAGAGTACCTTTATCGACCAACCCAAATAGATAGGTACCATTGCCTTCCCATTTTAACGCATAAACATTTATTTCAAGTCCTGCATTAAGAACAATTATATAAGTTATCAATAAAAGTGTGAAGTGCTTTTAAAATAAACATACCATGTTGAGTCCAACCATATAACACCACAGATTTTCTCTGATCATCATCGAGATTCTGCCATTTTTTAATTATTGAGTTAAGAGAATCTCTCAACATTACGGACATTTTTATTTTGTCAAAAAAACGTTTTTCTTTCTTGTCGCAGCAGGAAGACCAAAAGGACCCAATCCACCAGAAACTTCCCCAAATAAAACTTCAACCTTGAATGACATCTCTTTAAGGTTACCAATCATATCTACTTTTCTACCAATTCTATCTTTTTGAAATAGGTTAACGTCTTCATTTTGCGCTTCTCTTGTTGAATATGATTGAATTTCGCCTCTATAAATAAAAGACATAATTTTCATTTAATATTTTTTTTTTACATAAAATTGATGCAAAGTAACTTACCATCTATCTATTAAAAAATCATTATTGATAACAGCACGGTAAAAAAGGATAGATTGTTATCATTTTGAGAACTTCTTCAGTTACACTTCCTTTAAGAACATCAATGTTTGCAACTCTAGATAATATATGAAAGTAAAAAAATTATCACAGAATTTTTGTAGATGAATTAACATTAAACCATTGATATTTACATATATTGAATGTTAGCATTAAATTTTTTATTTTCATTATTTAAATTACTTAAATTAATACTACAATTGCTGTTGAAGTAATTCTGAATAGTTGATGGAGGTGACTCTGGCTTCCATTGAATTACGTTTGAAAATTATTTTGACAAATACTTTAACATGTCATCATTAATTTCTTTACAATTAAAAAGTGATTCCTTTGTTAGGTCAATAATTCTCTAATACCCAGGCCTATAAATATTAAAGCAATATATTAAGTAATCAGGCTAATGTCATGTAAAAATTATTGCAAAACTTACGTGACTATTCTTTTTGTTTTAGAGATTTTTGACCTGTACAAATCGAAGCTTCCTTTTATTTCTTCACTGGTATAAGAAGACTTCGTAGAATAAATATTTAACATTACTTCATCGCTCAGTGTTTGATCATCAATCGTTGAAATAATATTTCTTTCGTTCCTTTCTTCAAATAAGTAATTTGCTTCCACCTCTTGTAACATCTTCATAAGGTCGTTTTCTTTTTCCGTCCTTTTTATCGAAAATAAACATAAATATACCAAATAATGTGTCAGTGTTACCAACTATAATATAATTACTTTTATTCCTGTTTCTGCGAATTGAGGCACTGAAGACGTCATTTGCATTATTGTATTCTAAATAAGAAATAATCAATAAAATATATAATCAAAATGATTAAAAAAAATTTGCAGAAATTGACTTAAATTACTACTTACATCATTATCTAAACAAATTGAGACTTTATTTGAAATAAATGCTTCTCTAGATTGCTGCTCTGTTTGCTAAAGGTAATTTAAAGGTATTAATAATGAACATTGATAAATTTGTTAAATGACCACTTAATAATCACATATCTTTAATAGTAGATCCAAGTCTAACTGCATTTGCGAGCTAAGGTAACGACTTAATACAAATTCTATACTTTAATCTAGTTTTTCGAAAGGCTAAAAAGAGTATTCACAATAAATCATATGCTTTGAGTTGAACACTTTATCTGTTCTAATATAAACAACCATGTTAATACCTGATAATCAATCAGCCTTTTAATGAAGCTTCTATAAAATATATCTATGTCTTTTCTTGATCCTAATAAATTCAATGAATCGATCCATGCTTATTCTATATCTCCTACAGAGTTCACGAGAATTTTCAACAAAATTATTTGCAACACATTGCTGATAGGACCAGGTTTTTATGTTTATATTTGCTAAAGCTGGGCGTATATCAGCTGGTAGCGTATACGACCCCATATTTGTATCCTTGATAATTAATTGTAGACGTAATTCCGATGCCATTTTCTAGACTACGCGTAAATTAGCACTATATCATTATCATACGCGCGGATTTGCCAGTGTGTAAAATCCACGTGCACAATATGCACATGAGCACATCGAAAATTTTTTTGTTTACAAATGACATCACATTTTGTGCATAGTAATAACGCTTTATAATTAACTAACTGACTTAAGTATATAGAGAGAGTTGGTATCATATCCTTTCGATTATTTAATAATGCACATATTATTTTTAGAACTAATCGTTCTAAAGTCTCAACAATCATTTTAATGTTAAATCAATCGTTTCTGACCAAGTGTTTTTGACAGCAAGACATTGAAATTGCTAAAAGCTCATTACTCTCAATCGCAATTTCTTAAATATATTTATAAAATTATGCCTTTATTAATGTCTTTAAAGCCTTTATCAAACAAATTTTACATTACCTTCGTATATTTTATAACATTATATTAACGTTTCATTTTTTTCTTTATTTTGTAGGTCCTTAAATGAAATTTTAAAAAATGGTACTTTTTCTATATAATTAATTCCGTATATTTAAAGTTTCTTTATCCCAACTTATTTAAATATAGGTTTTTTATCTTAACGTTAATATTACACATAGATTTGCTGTTTCAAAAAATTAGGAGCAATGAAAAAAAATATTTTACTATTGAAAAGAATAAAAATTTTCAGAATAAGAAAAATCACTGTTGAATATGTGTTTTTATTTAGCACATATTTAGCTCAGTTCTGTTACCTTCTGCGGCCATGTGGTGAGGAGACCAGAACTGCACACTCATGTGCTATATGCGGCCATGTGGCGGTATAGTTCCTCTGGTTTACTTTATGTCAAATGCTATTGCGGCCATATGGCGGATAGCCTCTTTATAATAAAGTCAGACAGGTAAGACGGAACAACGCTGCGGCCATGTGGCGAACTGAGTTCTAAGACAGTTTTTAATTTGTTATGCGGCCATGTGGTGGTAACTTATTGGAACTGTGGTTCTTTTATTTGTTAAAATTCAAAAACATTAATTAAAGACATGTTTAGTTTCACCCTCAATAGGTTTATCTTATGGCATATATTATTTAGATTATTTATTATCAATGCAATACAATAATTTATATCAGCATATCAACATACACTATTGTGAGATGCAGAAATAAAAATTTAAACTCCTTCGCTCTTACTCCTATTATCGTTTATATTATTTCGTGATTAAGTTTACATAAAAGTTAAGTATAATTTTGGTGCACTTTATTTTTTTATAAAATAAATGTTATAGAATACTTATCTCTATTTAAGTCATTGATGGAAGGTGTAATCCCAATCTGAGGTAATTGGAAACTACTTTAACTCTAGGATCCAGCTAGGGTAGAGTTTGATTAATCTGATAAGTGTTAGGGTTTGATTAAATTGGTACAGTTTTATTCACTGTGTTACTTAATTTAGTAGGAAGTACTAACTCAAAAATATACTTTGAGTATATTTATCAAAATACCTTTTTTTGATTTTGCTGCTATAAATTTCGGGCTCTAGATCTGATATCAACTATTTCAGAATTTGCTAATTCTAAATACCAAATACCAAACAAATGAGAAAAATATAAGATACATGAATCATTTGGTAATTTCAGTTTATAGAAATTAATGATCAGCAAGTATTACTTTTGGGATGTCATTGTATTTATTTTAATTTTATGAAATATTTAGTTTTTGATATTTCTTTTGCAATAAATGAATACATAATGATTTACAAAATGGTTGTAATTGTAATTGTTCAAATAAAATTTTAAAAGAAAATTTTGCAAAAATGCGAGAAAATTTTCAAGTTTTATCTAAATCAAAATAAGATATTTTTTTTAATAGTTCAATTTAAAGAAAGTTTACACAGGATGTTTGAACACTAATTACGTGACCAATATTTTGTCCTTTAGTTTTTCTTAATTTCTTAATGCTAGTAAAAGTAATATTAATACCATTCGTATCATGTGATCTATGTCCAAACACCCCTTATACAAATAGAAATTGCCTTTAAAGTAATAGTAAATATCTTAACTGAAAAATTAGATCTAATAAAAAATATTTTTATTATTAAGATTATAATATATCACATTATTAAAAAATATATTAAAAATATTAGAAATCATTTAATAAATAATGAATTAATTTCAAGAATTTATGATAATATAAAAAGAATATTATAATAAAAACTAAAATGATAATAGATAAAAGTGTCACAAAAGCAGTTAAAAATTTTTTGAAAAATTATGTTGAATTTCATAGATTATCAAGTTCTAGTAAAAATATTAACTGAATTATCCAATTACTTATATTTTTACTAATTAAACTAGCTATAATTTAGTTTATTGTAACTTTTTTAACTTTTTTGCAAGTCTTAAATAATGTAACATATTAAATTTTTTAAAATATATATTTTACAAGTTATAATATCAATTAATATTTTATATTTAAATTATAAGCTTAAAAATAAAAAATAAATTTATGTAATATTTGCTAATATTTTTAAAATATAATAACTATAAAAAGAAATATGCAAAAGATTTACTAATAAAATATAAAAAAAATTTGGCTAAGGTTAAGTTAAAAGAAATTATTATAATCAGAATACTAAATTAATAGAATAATAAAGAAAATTGATAGATGAAAATTATCTTGTAATAGAAGATAAGCCTGATATTATAATGTTAATGTTATTATTTACTAGTTATAATTAGATACAAAATATTTATATTTTATATTCTATTAATAAATAATATTCAAGATAAAATAGTATATAAGTAAATTAATTTTATTTTAATAAAATGAAATAATAGACAAAGATTTTAATAATTAAGTATAATTTTTAATAAAATTAATAGATTAAATAAAGTAAAAAGCATTTAAAATTACTTTTGTAATATAAATAATTAAATAAAAATAATGCTACTATTTGATTTTATTTATATTTAGTGAATTATGATTATTATAAAAGTGTTAAATTAAATTTTATAATATCTGAATATACTAAATTCAAATATAAATTAATTAAAAAGCTTTATCAAAATACAATAGTAGGTTATATAGATCATATTATTGAAGTTATAATAAAATTAATTATAATAAGATTAAATAAAACTTAGTATTATGTATGATGATAAAAAAGATTTTTAATATTTAAGAACTAGTCTAACAAAAGTTGAGATTTAACAAATTATGTAATTTCAAGAAAATCAAGTTTAAAATTATTAGTTAATTTAATAAATTATAATTTATTCTGTCATTTTTAAAGATTTTAAAATTAGTTTTTTATAAATTAAGATAAAATTTTACAACAAATTTATTAAAAGTATTAGTTTTGCTTTAGTAAATTTATTTTATTCATTAAATATAATAATATAAAAATATAGTAATTATAAATTATAAAATATTATATTTTTTTAATATGCTATATATAAATTTTTTTATTTTCTAAAAAATATAAAATTAAAATCTACAAAAATAAAGAAAAATATATTTAATAAAAATTCTTAAATTTTTATTTAAAAATAAATTTTATTTAAAAAGCAAGTTATTTTTATTAATTATTAATATTTAATTATATTTGTTACTAATAAGTTCAAGTATTTAAGTTTAAAGTAAAGAAAAAATATATAATTAAGATTATTAAGTGAAACTTAAAGATTTAAAAGATTTTGCAAGTTATCTAAATAAAAAAAGTAAAATTTAGCAAAATTATATTAAAAGATTATTAAAAAATCTGCAAAATTCTAAAAAGGTAAAACTATTGTGACCGGGTGTCAATCTTGACGATCATAAACTAACAATTGTGTGACGAAGTACCAATGTCGATAATGTCAAATATATTTAACATATTTAATATGTTTAATATAACTAATATGTCTAACATAGCAGATATGTCTAACATAGTTAATATAGTTAATATAGTTAATATATTAGATATGTCAAAATATATGTATAGAATAGATATAAATACAACCTCTTTTGTTCACTAGAAAGAGGACAGACAGCTGTATTGAATCTCTCTCTTGTAAAAGATAGCGCAACGCTACTCTTCATCTTATGTATCTCTATTTCTTATTTCTTTTATTATCCTCTCGTATATTATTATCTTATTATTCCTTTTCATCTCAATAAAGTATTTATTATTTCTTACCTCGTATCTAAAACTCTTTTCCAATTTACGATAGAAACTCGTAACTCGTAATTGAAGCCGCTCGTATCTAATAAACTTAATTCAAACTTATAAACTAGTGGTAAATAAATCAAGATTATCATAAACTAACATTAGTTATTACGTGAACTATAAAAGAGTCAACCCTCTGACACCGCGTCTAACAGTTGCAACCTGAAAAGATTACACGTTAACATTTGGCGATGACGACAGGACCCTCTTCTCCTGTTTACGTAAGACTATGAGAAACACTCTATGAACAACTTCAGAGAATTGATAAAATACCAACGGAACCATTCAGCAATACACAATAAGCAAGAGCGTAATCTTAGAAAATCAACTAGTAAATTTAATTTAACTGACGATCCATCCTGTATTGCTTGTAATCCGCCACCTAAGGAGATATCGCAATCCTTTCTTAACTTCTTTGAGTGTGCACAAAAGGTTCTAGGAGCATTGCTATATACTAGCAAAAGCCTAGAAGCTTTCCAAACTGCGATTGCTGTAGAATTTACTGGTACAAGAGAAATATATTATAAATAGACCCTTAATACTTTAAGATATAGAAACACGCCGATACCAACCTTCAAGCGAGCAGTTACATATTGTATTTGAGCTCAAGCTGAAACTGATTTCTTCCAAAATAAATTCCGAGGTGATTTACTTACTTACCTCAATCCAAGCTGAAATTCTTCTCCTTCCAGAATGACTGGACCTTCAAAGAAAACAACTCTCGAAAGTAGCGATGCCTCTAAATCTGCTGAAGGAAATCTTTCCTCTCTTCAAGGACTCTACCCACTGGAAGAGACCATAGTTACTAAT